TGTGTGCAATGTGTATGTGCGCATAATGTCATGTATGCAATGTGTATGTGTGCAATAATGTCTTGTGTGCAAACGTACGTTTGTATTTTTATTTTTAAAATGTGCGCAATAATGCTTGTAGGCAATCGCTCTGTAGGCAATCAGGGAATGTCGGCAATTGAAGCTGTCGGCAAAAATGTTGTGGGCAAACGAAGCTGTTGGCAAATGGGAATGTAGGCAGTTGAGACCCTCCCATTCTATACAACAAAAATAACAATAATAATTTTTGCAGATAGATGAATATGTCAATGTGTTTGTTATGATCACAATATTCGACTTATTGAACGTAGCACATTACAGTATAAATTTTGTTCTGTACTGCGCAACGGGACAAACTTTTCGCAGAGAACTAATCCGCATGTTTACGAAACGTACAAATAGAAGAAAAAACAGAAATCTTATGGAGATGTACAATTATAAATAACAGTCTGATTGATGACCAATTATGCAGTCATAATAAGGTAGTATCATAATTAAACACGGCGTTCCATACTGGATAATAAAATTGATAAATTTACAAAACCAGATGTAAAAATTACATGACAAATAACAGAAATTTAGTAAATATATATTGCAAATGTACATAATTTCATAAATCTTATACTATTTACTTTGTATATTTCCATTATTTATTATGTAATTTTTATTTTGTGTAAATTTTCCGAATTTTTCGACAGTGTGCATACTTATATTACATTAATCAAAAATTCCTTTACTATTTTTGTTATATGACTATTATAATTAAATAAATGAAAGCATAAATAAGCCAATTTTTTCGTAATGTCATAATACTTTGCATTTTGTTACAGCTTGTAAATCTACGTCCAGTCACACTTTGAGCAGAACAATGTATTTGTTAACAACGTAACAATTGAAAGCTTTTCAAGAGAATCTAACACTTCTGATATACAAGAGAATACATTATAACTGCATATAAATATAGTAACTACAAATAGACTAAATAAGATAGTTAAA